AAAAAAAAAAAAAAAACAAAACAAACAAAAAACACCACCACTGAAAGCCCAATCTGTCAATTTTAATTATTTAAGCCATCTCATCTCCCTGGGGCTAGAAGATCCTCTCTATGGAAACACTGGCAATATGAAGTGCACAATATTTCCTAACTCAGAGCTGTGAGCTCACAAATTCCTGTACCTTGCAGTCCAGTAAGTCACTAGTGATCTGTTAGTGTCTGGGGTAGAGGGTGCAAGAGATTATGCAAGCAGTTATCTTGGGGTGGAAGAGGGGAAAAAAAGGGGAAGCTGCCTGAGAAGCCAACAGTCTTCCAATCCAGTTGCAACTGCTTTAGTCAAAACTCCTCAAAGGCCTTCCCAGACGGTTATCCTTTTTTAAAAGTATCAGTGAGTATATGAAAGCTAGTACCTTCCTCTTTTTAAATAAACATGCTACCTCTTGAGTTTTAGACATCTCATGAGAAAGTTTCAGTCCTCTAGAAAGACATTCCAGGGACTCATGCTGTATTTCTAAGGAGTCCACAGGTGGGTGTGGGTATAAAGAAGTAGGTCTGAAGAGTGGGAGCATTTCCTGATAGTGAATAGGTCCCTTGAGAAACAGGCTAAGGTGCCATCTAACTCAGTTTTTTTTAGGGAAGGAACAGATTTGGGCTTCCTAATCCTTTCCCAATTTGTTGTCAACACACTGTCCCCTACTGAACTGTTTGTCAGCTGAGCTGAAGATCCTCTGATGTACTACCAGATGCCAGGGCATGAGGCATAACTTCAGGATGTACAGAACAAGCAGGTAATTGATGTCCAAAGACTACTGCTATAAATAGTGCCTTCTTGGCCTTCCCCTCTCTCGGGTTCCAAAGATTACCGCTTCCAACAAGAAAAATCATTCCGAAGTGACAGGGATGCCTTTGGTTGCACTGGCCTCTTCAGAGGAAGAGGCCAAGAGATGAAAGGAAGCAGCAATAGGCTAATGAACATATAAAACAGAGGTTCCCATTAATTGCCACAGTAACTAATATGAACAGCCCTACTAGGTCAGACCAAAGGGTCATCTAGCCCAGTATCCTGTCTTCCAACAGTGGCCAGTGCCAGGTGCCCCAGAGGGAATGTACAGAGCAGGTAATCATCAAGTAATCCATCCCCTGTTGCTCATTCCCAGCTTCTGGCAAACAGAGGCTAGGGACACCATTCCTGCCCATCCTGGCTAATAGCCATTGGAAGAACTAAAGTTTACATTAGTCACAAGTAGGTATAGAACAGAATTTTCTGACCTTTAAGAACAAATGCAGGCCAGAGAATTAAGCTGGTGTTCAAACCAGTTTACCTAACCAAGAAAAAAAAAATATATGTCTCATGTTTGATATCTAGTTTCCATTTATGTGCTACAAAAAGTAAAAAGAATTTTTATTAGAAACACACAAGTCTTACCTTTCCTGAAACAGATTCACCATCATAGAAGAGGAAGTGTTTTTCTATTTTGCCATCTTCAGTTTTAATTTCTGCTGTTTTTCGTGTTTCTGCATCATTAAGAATAATGTCAATCTCACAAATAGGACCAAAAAAGCCTCCAAGAAAACTCTGGAATAAAAAATAATTTTTCAGATTATCACAGGGGTAAAGATGACTTTATACTTTATGAAATACATATTTTTATTTTTTGTTTGTGGCAGTGATGCTAATTAAAGCCTGGGGGATGAAAGTATGTTCCCAATTACCCAAATTCCCCGTGTACTGAAGGACAGATCTCAGTTTGCAGATGTACAGCTCAAATTTTTATATTGAAATAATTTCATTGGGATGTCTAAAAAGTTATACACAAGTAGTTTCATAATAGCCACATGGGACCGTACTCAGCAAATAATTAAAAGATAAGATCAGTAGCAAGCTGAAGAATGAGCAATTCACAACAGGAATAAGTAGATAGTTCTAGTACCCAATTATGATCACCATTAAAATTACATATGCCATTTGCTTCTTCCATCTTCAAAAACAAAAAAATTTCAGTCCCTCCTAATTATTAGTACTGCAACTTTCCACTGAAATTTGATAGTTTTAAATCAAACGTGAGAAACCCAGATTCAAAAACAAACTTTTGTATTCCTTACAATTAGGAAACTGGGACACATTATGTATGACATTGTAACAAACTGTTTATTGGAGTAAGTGCAAATAGGCCACAAACTGAAAGACCTGGGAGAGGATCTACAGGAAACACAGCAGAACGGGAAAAAGATGTTTTTTGGTCCAAGACTATGCACCAAACTCTGGCTTGAGGAGGAAGGAAAGGAACATTTCAAATTATCTGACTGCCCCAAACAGAACTTTCTGGATGCAAATCACACACACAAAACTAGATGTAGTCCCTCACTGTCTTCTACTGGGTAAATTTGGTATTCTTTAAAGTCTATACATTCTCATTCTGTGTAAGGTCTTTAATTGTAGTGTGGTGAAATAAAACTTGTAGAGTTGGGACAAAGTCAAAAGAAGAGGAGAGGTATTTAGCTAAAATCTTAAATGAAGTGTAGAACTAATGATGCAAGAAAGCTGTTCCAAACAATAGGCCCTGCTGAGAAGAAAACCTCTCATATCAGCAAGAGTGACACTATGTGGGGAAAACAGAAAAGACACAGGACTGCAAGACAGGCTGAAGCAAGGACACAAAAAGCCATTTTTAATCTTATGAAATGTTAAGATACACAAGGCTAAATAAAAGAAGTCTCTGTACTTTGTTTCTACTTAAGCTTGTTACTCTGGCAAACTGCCCCAAAACTCTTTACACAGAGTTGTGCACAATTCCGTAAAAGAAAGCTAAAAGCTAGCCAGTACTGAGTGGAAGTCTCAGGATATGTACACACTACAGCTTACATCAGTACAAGCTGTGTTGCTCAGGGGTGTGAATAAGGCACCCCCCTGAACTACATAAATTACATTGACCTAAACACCGGTGTGGACGGTGCAATGTCAGTGGCATAGCTTCTCCCATCGACATAATTACTCCAGCCTCCGCGAGCGGCGGTAGGTAAGTTGATGGGAGAACTCTCCCCCTGTTGGCTTAGAACGTCTGTAAGCTCTGTAGCTTAGACATAGCCTAGACTCCTAAAGCTCAAAAAGCAGCCTAAGGAGGGGCTCACATCTAACAGGGAAGTCTTTCAAGTCTCTGCTGAGTAGAGATTTACATTCACAGGTGGAACATCAAAGAAGCTTGCTTTGTGACTACATCTGTTTTCTGATATTCAATTTCCAGTTAAATTAGTTATTTAGGAAAAATTCCCAAATCATCAGTATACAAGAAATATATGTTTAAGTTATAACACTTTATTGCCTTTTCCAGGAACACGCTCACGTTAATTCTTAAACATGCAGTACTACTTTCAAAGTGTAGACAGCGATTACATCTATCAAATTGAAAGAGTGCCTATTGAGTTTTATGCACATTTACCTCCAAACCAAAAAGATTACATTCACAGCACAAATCATCTAAAAGGATCCCATAGCACAGGGGTTCTTAAACTTCATTGCACCGTGACCTCCTTCTGACAATAAGTTACTATACAACCCCAGGAGAGGGGAACGAAGCCTGAGCCTAACCAATCCCTACCACCCAAGGGCAGGGGAGAGCTGAAGCCCAAGGCCTTAAACTCCAGGCAGCGGATCTGTAATCTCAGCTCCAGTGCCCAAAGCTGAAGCCCCCAGGCTTTGGCTTCAGCCCCAGGAAGTCTAAGCCAGCCCTGGCGACCCCACTTTGAGAACTGCTGCAGTATAGCATTTCACAAATTATAGACAGAGCCGCTAAAATACAGTCACAATAGGTTCACAGAGTACTCATAAGACACTGCACATCGATACTTATTTTAAGATGTTCCCCATATGGGCTGGCCTATGCTTCAATTTGAAGGAGAATAAAGCCTTTACATAAAAGCACTATCACCTCCCTCAATTTGTGTCAAAATAGTTTATATGTAAACATAGCAATCAACAAATAGACTGCTACATCTTGCATATGAAGTTAAGACCGCTGACCTTACAAATTCTTGAAACTGTCTTGCAGTCTCATGAGTTCATCGAGTAACTTCTGAATTAGCCAGTCTCCTTCCCAAAAACTAGTTCTCATCTAGCATGGATAAACAAAACAAATATGGAGTTTCAAGGCGAAGCCATTTTTAAAAAACAAGCCGTTCCAAAAAACAGGTTTTCCAAAAATGAAAATCTTAATTTTTCAAACTGATCTCCTAGTTATGTTGTCCAACTGATCTCTAGCTTTCCCCCCAAAAGAGAGATTTCTCCTAAGGAAGTGGGACTACTTTAAAAAGAAAAATGAAGTGTCTGGTGTACTGGTTTCTTTATATCTAATCTCCTTGCTAAACACCTTGTAATGGCAAAACAGTTACAATCTTAACTGTCTTAAGGTGTCTTAGTGTAGACATATCCTTACAATATGAAATGGTCCTAAATCTTTCTGTACTATTGCTGTGCACTTTCAACTACAGAAGCAAGTGCATTTCAGTAACCCCTGTACAGAATTTGTAAGGTATTTTGGGATACTGCATATACACAAGTAATCTTAAACCAAAAAGTTCACACTTTCAAGGTGAAATATAGTCTTCTGGATGACACAACATGTACTTAGTATACTATGTGTGTCAGAACTGTTTAGACTACTTCAGTGCAGGCTATAAACTCCTCGAGTAAGAACCAAGCTGTCAAGTTTTGATAGGCAAGAACACTAGCAGGACTCAAATACAGTAGGAATAATAAAAAAATAAAAATATTGTTACTATTGGAGAACAAGAAATATTATTAAGGGCACAAGAGCAAACTACCCCACTAGGAAAAAGTAGGGATAGGAAAAAGATCTTCAATGATCTGAAACTCAAAGTCCTACAAAAAGGAGAAACTAGGTCAAATTACAAAGGATGAATATAAACAAGTAACAGATATGTAGGCACAAAATTAGAAAGGCCAAGTCACAAACAAGATTCAACTAGCTAGAGACAAAGGGTAACAAGAAAACATTCTACAAATACATCAGAAGCAAAAGAAAGACCAAGGAGAGGGTAGGTAGCCCCTTTACTCAATGAGGGGAGGGAAACAGGAACAGAAATGGTGGAAATGGCAGAAGTGCTAAACGACTTTTTTGTTTCAGTTTTTACTAAAGTTTAGTACCAATTGGACATCTAACATTGTGAATGCCAGTGAAAATGAGATAGGATCAGAGGCTAAAATAGACAAAGAACAAGTTAAAAATTACTTAGTCAAGTTAGATGTCTTCAAGTTACCATGGCCTGATGAAATACATCCTAGAATACTCAAGGAGCTGACTGAGGAGATATCTGAGACATTAATGATCACCTTTGAAAAGCCATAAAAGACGTGAGAGATTCCAGATGACTGGAATAGGGCAAATATAGTGCCAATCTATAAAAAAAGGAAATAAGGACAACCCAAGGAATTACAGACCAGTCATCTTAATTTCACTACCCAAAAAGATAATGAGCAAAAAATTAAGCAGTTTGCAAACACCTAGAAGATAATAAGGTGATAAGTAACAGTCAGCATTGATTTGTCAAGAACAAATCGTGTCAAACCAACCTAATAGCTTTCTTTGACAGGGTAACAAGCCTTGTGTATAGGGGGAAGCAGTAGAGGAGATATATCTTGACTTCAGTAAGGCTTTTGATACGGTCTCACATGACCTTCTCATTAACAGACTAGGGAAACGCAACCATGATGTAGCTACTACAACGTGAGTCCATAACTGTTTGGCAAACCATTCCCAGAGAGTAATCATCAGTGGTTCATAGCCAAGCTGAAAGGGCGCATCAAGCGGGATCCCACAGGGATCAGTTCTGTTCAGTATCTCCATCAATGATTTAGATAATGGCATAGAGAGAACACTTATAAAGTTTGTGGATGTTACCAAGCTGGGAGGGGTTGCAAGTGCATTGGAGGATAGGATTAAAATTCAAAATGATCTGAACAAACTGGAGAAATGGTCTAAAGTAAACAGGATGAAATACAATACGGACAAATGCAAAGTATTCCATTTAGGAAGGAACAATCAGTTACACACATACAAAATGGGAAATGACTGCCTACAAAGGAGTACTGTGGAAAGGAATCTGGGGATCAAAGTGGACCACAAGCTAAAATATGAGTTAGCAGTATAACACTGTTGCAAAAAAAGGCAAGCATCATTCTGGGATGTATTAACAGGAGTGTTGTAAGCAAGACACGAGATGTAATTCTGCTCTACTCTGCACTGATTAGGCCTCAACTGGAGTGGTGTCTAGTTCTGGGCACCATATTTCAGGAAAGATGTGGACAAATTGGAGAAAATCCAGAGAAGAGCAACAAATATGATTAAAGGTCTAGAAAACATGACCTATGAGGGAAGATTGAAGAAAATGGGTTTAGTCTGGAGATGAGAAGACTGAGGGGGGCATAACAGTTTTCAAATACATAAAAGGTTGTTACTAGGGCTGTCAAGCAATTAAAATATTTAAATATTTCTGGATGTTTTCTACATTTTCAGATATACTGATTTCAATTACAAAGTGTATAATGCTCACTTAATATTTATTTTGATTACAAGTATTTGCACTGTAAAAAAACCAAATAGTATTTTTCAATTCACCTAATACGAATACTGTAGTACAATCTCTTTATCATGAAAGTTGAACTTATAAATGTAGAATTATGTACAAAAAAACCTTGCGTTCAAAAATAAAACGTAAGATTGTAGAGCCTATAAGTCCACTCAGTCCTACTTCTTGTTCAGCCAATCACTCAAACAAGTTTGTTTACATTTGCAGGAGATAATGCTGCCCGCTTCTTGTTTACGTCACCTGAAAGTGAGAAAGTGGCACTGCAGTAGCCGGCGGCGCAAGATATTTACGTGCCAGATGTGCTACAGATTCACATGTTCATGCTTCAACCACCATTCCAGAAGACATGCATCCATGCTGATGACAGGTTCTGCTCGATAACAATCCAAAGCAGTGCGGATTGACACGTTTATTTTCAGATGCCACCAGCAGAAGGTTGATTTTCTTTTTTGGTGGTTTGGGTCCTGTAGTTTCCTCATCGGAGTGTTGCTGTTTTAAGACTTCTGAAAGCAAGCTTCACACCTCGTCCCTCTCAGATTTTGGAAGGCACTTCAGATTCTTAAACCTTGAGTCAAGGGCTGTAGCTATCTTTAGAAATCTCACATTGGTACCTTCTTTGCGTTTTGTGAGATCTGCAGTGAAAGTGTTCTTAAAATGAACAGCATGTGCTGGGTCATCATCAGAGACTGCTACAACAGGAAATATATGGCAGAATGCAGGTAAAACAGAACAGGAGACATACAATTCTCCTCAAAGGTGTGGTGTTCAATCACTAATTTAATTAACACTTATTTTTAAATGAGCATCATCAGCATGGAAGCATGTCCTCTGGAATGGTGGCCGAAGGGGCATATGAATGTTTAGCATAACTGGCACGTAAATACTTCGCAATGCCGGCTACAAAAGTGCCATGCAAATGCCTGTTCTCACTTTCTGGTGACACTGTAAATAAGAAGCAGGCAGCATTATCTCCCTTAAATGTAAACAAACTCGTCTGTCTTAGCGATTGGCTGAACAAGAAGTAGGACTGAGTGCAGTTGT